GCTTACAGACATAAAAACGCAATTTTATATGGGTGTCATTTTTCTGAGGGAGCTTTTATTGGACGTTTCTCTTGAAATTGGGCTTTAACACCCTTTAAATCTACTAGAGATGCAACTGTGTTATAACCTTCCAAGATTTTATTTTATTCTCTTTACTAATTTCGTGGTCCGCTTGACCAATTAATACTTTACAATTAATTAAGGTTTTTAGTCGAGATGAAAAAAAGTAAATGGCAGGAGAGGGATTCGAACCTCCACCTTCGGCTAGATACGCCGCTGCTCTACCACCTGAGCTATCGTGACCTCGATCCACTCGGACATCAAAAAATGGAGGGAAAACTCATAATGTGGGGTTGAGATGGGGAGTTGATGTCCGAGTGGATAGTAGAGTCTCAAATTAATTTGCTAATAAATAATTAATCAGTCATCTGTTTTGTTATAAATAAATAATAAATGTTTATTGAAAAAGGTGGCTGAGAATTCTCCGAATTCCTTTTTGATAAGTAATATTAATAAATAAATAATAATAAATAACTATCTTAACAATAATTACCATCTACCGAAACCTTGAGACAGAAGACGAACAACTGATTATTGATCTATATATGCTCAAAACTGCATATGCATATACATACGTGTACAGAATTGAGCATATCATTTCTCGCAGTCCACCGGCAATTTCAGCTTTCTAATTTACAATAAATTACCGGCAGGCCTCGAGAATCACCCACCTCGGTTGTCGACAGTCCGGGGTCTGACCTCGGTCTTATCCGTCCAGCCACCAAGGTTGGGCTCCGGATGTTGTCAACAACTAAGTCATTTAAGCTCCCAACGCAACCAGTTGGTAAATCCAACCTCATTCACACTCGCACTCATTCATACATTCACTCCAACTTATAAACCATTCATTCATTAAGGTGGTGGGGTACTCAAAATTCTCCCATTTCTCTTTATATGTTATGTAACTAAGCTAATCGTAGGAGGATGGGCTACTTAATATTCTGCCATCGACCCTCTTACACTATACATTCACGCTTATAAATGCATTCACTCTCAACACACGCTAGGGACACAAAACTATTATTACTGTATACAAGAAAACAACCCTGTTTTCTCCAAGAATCGGCGAGTTTGATCTCACAAAGATAAATATTCTAAAATCCCTTGTCATGTATTAAACAAAAATTTAAATATTTACTTGAAAAGAAAAATGTGATAGATAATTTAGTAGTGTGCAATATTGTATTGGGAATCGTTAGGAAAAGTTTTCATCCTTTTTATAATGGAAGTTAATAATATTCTGACCTCTTTATCGACAGAAATGTTGTTAACACAATTTTCACCCCTAATGACAATATTCGCATAGTTTAGAAAGATTAAAGCGTTTTTCGAACTGACGATTAATTGTAAAGGATACTAAATCCTTGCGGTTTTTTTCGCCTTTTAATAAATCGGAGGATGGAAGCGTGCCGCTTCGTAGTTCCGCAGCCGGCCATCTTTTATGACCTGGGAATGCCGGCTATGCAGAATATCCTTAAACCCCGTGCCAACATTCGTTATGTTAATGGAATCGGCCTAGGTGTCTGCAAGACCGGAGGCCGCTTTAGCCACTTTGACCACGTCCTCCGCCGCCGGATTTATCGTCGGCGCACTCTTGGCACCCATATCTTCAGTGTTTAACCTTCTTATTTTATTTTCCTTCCACTATTGCAAAGGTCAAACGAAACGGTAAAGCCTCATTACTACAAGCGAGTAGTAAAATATTTGCCTAATCACAAATTACTATTATCTCTTCTATTTTCCCTAATTTTACATATATGTATGTTGTAATTTACGCTTAATTTATAAAGGTCCTTTTAATCTTACAAAGAGGCGGTTTTTTGATAACGAGAGGAGTACCTCTAGGACGTCACATGTTGTCAAGTGTTGACAAGCCGTAACGTACCGTTCTGCTCGCGCCTTTGCAATTGTCCTCAGGTCCACCTCTTCCCGTCTTCGTCAAATAAATGCAGCAATCCATTGGTTCAAGCGTACACATTTTCACCAGGACATCGGTGCCCTCCGTCCATCCAAATTAGTTTGTCTTTTTACTATATATACAATATTCTTTGAATGCATGTCAATTTTTGTTTTGTTTATACAGGGTGAATTGCTACTCGTGCTACAAACTTCTCCAGTAGATTCTTCACCCTAAAATGAACAAAAAAGTTCATATTGACCATGGTCCGATTCTCAACCATTTCAGAGTAATTTCGCTTTTTATCGATTTTGAAAGATATCACGTCCTGGCGTCGGAAAATCGTGATATCTTTTAATCTAAACATTTCTCTTAAAATCTATAAGCACCGTTGAAATCCCCGTTAATTTTTAGAGAGAATCAAAATCATAATTCCATTGAAATTTTTTAATTTAATTTAATGCCCATTTAGTATGTAATGCTTAAGAAGTTTACAAACAGCTAGAAGGTCAAGGAAGAAAGACCCAAACGTTTTGCCACCTTCATCTTCTTATTGAAAAATTAACGGGGATTTCAACGGTGCTTATAGATTTTAAGAGAAATGTTTAGATTAAAAGATATCACGATTTTCCGACGCCAGGACGTGATATCTTTCAAAATCGATAAAAAGCGAAATTACTCTGAAATGGTTGAGAATCGGACCATGGTCAATATGAACTTTTTTGTTCATTTTAGGGTCAAGAATCTACTGGTGAAGTTTGTAGCACGAGTAGCAAGTCACTCTCAAACATTAGCAATCCTTGAACCACCATTTTTTCTCTTTTTGTCATCAACATCTTGGTCTCACAACCACTAAATAAGAAAATGACGAGTGCGTTGGAAGCGTTATTAAATCAGGTAGTTTTCCTCAAATTTGCTGCCTTCTGAGACTAAAATTAGAAACTCTGGATTACTTTATACACTTTCCGATTTACACAATTTTCCACTCTTTTTGTAGTTCTGGCTGAAATAAAACACAAAAAATTAGCCCAAACATTTTGCCACCGTCATCTTCTTATTGAAAAATTAACGGGAATTTCAACGGTGCTATTAGATTTTCAGAGAAATGTTTAGATTAAAAGATATCACGATTTTCCGACGCCAGGACGTGATATCTTTCAAAATCGATAAAAAGCGAAATTACTCTGAAATGGTTGAGAATCGGACCATGGACAATATGAACTTTTTTGTTCATTTTAGGGTGAAGAATCTACTGGAGAAGTTTGTAGCACGAGTAGCAATTCACCCTGTATAATAAATATTGTACTTATTAGAGAAATCGATTAATTTCTTAAATTAAGTTTAAACCCTACACTCAAGAACTTTTCCTCTGGTAACGCCCTGACTTGGTGCGTACATATACAATTCCTTTCCCACCAGCGTCGTTAGAGATATAGAAAGATAAATAGATAGAGATGATAGTCAGATGGATAGAGATGATAGATAGATAGAGAGGTAGGTAGTTAGATAGATATATCGATAGATAGAGGGAGAACGTGAGACAACGAGAGAGCGAATTATAATAGAGATAAACCAAAACAGATCGATTGGTGTGTGTGTGTGTGTGTGTGTATGTGTGTGTGTGTGTGTGTGTGTGTGTGTGTGTGTGTGAGAGAGAGAGAGAGAGAGAGAGAGAGAGAGAGTGAGAGAGAGAGTGAGTGAGAGTTTTGTGATAGAGGAGGAGGAAGAAGAGGAGGAGGAGGGATGAGAGGGGAGAGAGAGGAGAGAGAGGGTGAGAGAGAGAGAGAGAGAGAGAGAGAGAGAAGGAGTGAGTGAAAGTTTTGTGATGGAGGAGGAGGAGGAGGAGAGAGTGAGTGAGAGGGAGTGAGAATTTTATGATAGAGGAGGAGGAGGGGTGAGAGGGGAGAGAGAGAGTGAGAATTTTGTGATAGAGGAGGAGGAAGAAGAGGAGGAGGAGGGATGAGAGGGGAGAGAGAGGAGAGAGAGGGAGAGAGAGAGAGAGAGAGAGAGAGAGAGAGAAGGAGTGAGTGAAAGTTTTGTGATGGAGAAGGAGGAGAGAGTGAGCGAGAGCGAGTGAGAATTTTGTGATAGAGGAGAAGGAAGATAAGGAGGAGTGGCGAGAGGGGAGAGAGAGGAGAGAGAGAGTGAGAGAGAGGGAGTGAGAGAGAATTTTGTGATAGAGGAGGAGGAAGAGGAGGAGGAGGGGTGAGAGGGGAGAGAGAGAGTGAGAATTTTGTGATAGAGGAGGAGGAGGGGTGAGAGAGGAGAGAGAGGAGAGAGAGTGAGAGAGAGAGAGAGTGAGAGAGAGAGAGAGTGAGAAGGAGTGAGTGAAAGTTTTGTGATGGAGAAAGAGGAGAGAGTGAGCGAGAGCGAGTGAGAATTTTGTGATAAAGGAGGAGGAAGATAAGGAGGAGGGGCGAGAGGGGAGAGAGAGGAGAGAGAGAGTGAGAGAGAGGGAGTGAGAGAGAATTTTGTGATAGAGGAGGTGGAAGAGGAGAGAGAGAGAGAAAAAAAAATAGAATGTAGTAAACAGACAGACAGATAGCGAGAGAAAGATTATACGAGGGTAGAAGCCTCATTTTGAAGACTATAACTTATTTCGCAAGTGATTTTAACGGGTGGTCGTAAAGGTAATCGTGGCAAAATGTCTGCCTTCTTTTTATACGGTTTAGTAGAATAGTCGATTGTTAGTAAAGCGCACATTTTCTGAGCATTTCCCTGCAGCTCTGAGGTGACTCAAAAGAGACGCAGATATACGAAAAGAAGAAGAATTCGGATGCTCTCGGATACGAAACCGTCCAGAAATAGGAACAAAACAAACGCGATGTACAGTTAGCGTGGGCAAGGCCGGGGCTCCCATATAGGGGAACATTAACCCATTTGAGAGTTGAAAACGGGATGTTTGGGGTGTCGCCATATAGGGAGGATGGTGGCCACCAGAAAGACGTGGGTGACCTGGAGGGGGCGCCTCTTCACCAAGAGGGGATGGCCAGCGCGTGCCCAGGCTCGCGAACACGCTCCTCACTTCAGTCTCGAATCGTACCTCCGCATGATAACGTCTTCGGAGCAGTCGTACTCAAAAACAAGTTTCGTAATATTGACGTTCGGTATCTTACATCGGGCAAAGGTGAAAAACTGAAACTTTGTTATGTCGGTTAAATGTTGTCCATTTGAGAAACTAACAAATTCGTTAATTGTAATGAATTTCGATTGCCATCTCTCTATAGACACTTTTTGATAAGTTAAATAGTAATAAATTACGGATTATGTGCCGTGAAGTGAAAGTGTTTTAGGCGGACTTTATAATTCGGCTATTTTAGGAGTGTAGGTAGAAAATGAGCTCTGTCATGCTTGAGATGGACCCGAACAATAACGCCCAACCGGGTGAAAAGAGTTACTCGCTGAGGCCGCGTTTGGTGGTGAAAAGGAGCGACGAAGAAGAGGAAGAGACGATCACATGGAGGAGGAGGCCGAAGAGGAGGCAGAAGCCGAAACCGGCCCCGTTGAGCAAATACAGGCGGAAAACGGCCAACGCGAGGGAGCGATCGCGTATGCGCGAGATCAACGAAGCATTCGACAGCTTGCGTCGTGCCGTCCCGCACTCCATCACCAGGAGCGACCAGGCGGAAAAGCTCACGAAAATCTCAACGCTCAGGTTGGCGATGAAGTACATCGCCGCGTTGTCGGCCGCCCTCGCCGAGCCCCAGACTGAATCCGACGTCGAATCTCTCATAAGCGATTCGACGATAAACGATCTTTCGACGAGCGAGAGTTCGCTGACGCCGCCGTTTCCTCCGCTCTCCGTTTTGGACGCGTCCTTTTCCGATCCTTACTCGGACTTCTCGGACAGCGCTCTTCCCCTGGACCCTTACACGGACTTTTCCGCTTTCGTCCTGGACGATCCTTTCGCCTCAGACTTCAGCTAACCCCTCCTTTTTGTTTCGAGAGTAAGTTAATTACAGATAATAAATCTATTAATTTGGGTCAGACTCTTGGGTAACGTCGACGATTAACCTCACTTTGTGTTTTCTCGTCCTACTGCTGGGATCCTGGATGGAGCGCAATACTCCTTGGAGAAAATCCGTTCAGCTCGATAGAACCCAGTTATGCTAACGTTATTTACCAAACGATCCAAAATTTGAATATTAGAAGCACAATTTTTCTCATACATTTTCGATACTTTCAATTTTTATATTGAAAAGACGTGAAAGTGTGTTAGTCCAGTTACTGTTAATCAGCAATATTTGTTCAAAGAAACTTTTCTCTTAGCTACACACGGAAAAAGAAAACGATTGATTGACAAACAATCTTAAAACGGAGTGAATTTAATTTCAAAATCGACCACACAAGAATGGGAGAAATCTTCAATTTGTTTAAAATATTATTTCAGTTTTTACCTTTTCAACGCATACCCGTTATTTTTAAACTAGATTCATGGAAGCCATCAAGAGTAATTTAATTATACATAATAAATCTATTGATGTGGGTCAAAACTGTTGAGAAACGTCATCACTTGTTAGCCTTCCTTGTACATTTACTACTTATCCCGCCCTGGTATCTTTGATAAGGAAATGAGATACTCATTGAAGAAAATGTAAATTTTCGTGGGATCTACTACGACCAAAATTTATCTATGGGTCGAAAATATTGTTAATCTCTTCGGTACAACCTTCAGACGATCTTATCTCCTTTATAGAGTATCTGTCGACCATGCTGGATAAAGACGAAACATATCACCTAAGACCACTTAAATGTATTCATAATATTTATAATTAATTGTAAAAAAACTGTAAATACATAAAGAAAAAGATCGTTTTGCAAACGATTAATTACCAACAAATCATTGTACGTTTATTATTTAAGGAGAATCGTTTAGAATAGAAATATATTTAATTTTTTAAGACAGAAAGAATGGAAGCATATCAATGTAATTTTATTTTTACAATTTGTCCTATTTAATAGTTTACGAATAGATTATCATAAAATAATGTTAAACGTGAAAAAACAAATTCGGGTTAGCTTTAATTAAATCGTAAGTTCAAAACCTGGACTGTTCTTGAACGGTGGAGAGCTTACTATTAAGATATTGTAAATATGATGTGCAATATAGTTATTCTAAATTTAAAAAAATGTGAAATGGCCTTACGTACTTTTATTTACCTAAAAAATACTTAAAAAGTTGAATTCTTTTTTTTTGTTATTTGTTATTTTTAAATATACAAAAGTGCTGTACCTATTTACGCAAATAAATGTGTACATTGTGATAATAAATCTGTGGATTTTTATTCTCATTTCAAACCATTATTTTTTTTGAACGGGTTTAACGACCATGTTCGCAGCAATTTAACACGATTTGCGATTGGTGACCTACTTGGTCCCACTTTCACTACTGCGGGCCCTGGCCAACTACCGGAAAATGGCGAACTGCCAAAATATATTCAAGTGAAAACTAAAATCATTTCTTCTCGATTTTCGTTCCTGATTTGGGATCATCAAACGCTAGATGAAAATTAAATTTTTGGAAAATAAACTGGATACAAGATCAGAGCTATTGTAAGATCCTACAAAAAGGTAAGTGCAACTGTTGTCATATTAACATAAAGTGTTACTCCATAATAATTAAATTGTGTAATTAACTGTAAAATTAAGTGGAATTATAAATAAAAAATCAAGTTTTCTAATAAAACAAATATATACATGTATAAATTAAATTTATTTCAATTTCAATTTTACTTTCATAACTGAATTTAGAATAATCTTTAAACAGTAAAGAAAAACCAGAAAGTTAAACAAATATTTTTTAATTTTAAGATATTTAAGATTTGGATTATTGAGCATGGGCCCAAATTATCTCTGTACTTGCAAACTAAAAATGGTAAAAAATGGATTAAATTATATTATTGGAACAACTTGACAAAAGTGAATTATTGCTTTATAGGACATATGTAACAATATTCAATCGAAAATATTTTAAATATTCTAAAACTATCTAGCAAATCTATTTATTAAACCTATTGATTGAAAAATTGAAAATTGAAAAATTGATTAGTGATTTACTAGACATTATCCTTTATCTTCCTTGGTTATGTTCTTGTATTCAGTATTGGTATTTTAGAAAATATCGTTCGTTAAAATTTTAAGAAACCTACTTCCTACACAACTAAAAAATTTTATTTAACATAGAAAAGATTAAATATTAAAGGTAAAAAAGTACATTATGATATTGTTATAACACATCGATACGAACAGATCAATAAAACACCATCACTCTTTTTATCTTTAAAGATTAAATATCATTTTTGCCAAGTGTTTATGCTTTCGTGTAGACTTAGATTTTTACAATGTTTAAATCTGCATAAAAACAGTACTCTAATTGGTCAATAACGAAATCAAAAAACGCCACTTGGAACAACACTATTCCCCATTGTATCAAAATTTACAGACTCTCTATTTCAAATTTGACTTTATAAACCTTCCCTTTTTCCTCGTGAGTACAGAATGTTTTCTAAAAGGCTACCCGTATCCTAGATTGCTTTCAAATTGAATTCCACCAAGAAAGAGAAACGTCTGATTAGAGTAAAATATCGGAAGCCGGTCTTCAAGCCTAAATTGTCAGCCTTAAGCGTTTTAATTAAAGATTTCTAGCATAAAACGTGATATAACAGATATTTTTAACAGGTTTTTAATGCTTTTTTATGAAGTAACCGAATAAATTTCATCCAAGTAACTACATTTTCTAAAAGCGTAGAGATTTTTATTTAAACTGTAAAATACATATAAAAGTAAACATATTCAACATTATATTTAAAAGTGGTTATTTCATTTTCGTTAATATTGACAGAAATTAAGATCCCATTAAAACGAACACCTCTTACTTACTTTCTTACACACGCTCTCTGACTCACTCTTTATTATCTAAGTATCGTTGTCTATCTCGCTCTCCCTGTACTTGATGTAATTCATTATTAGGCATAATTAAAAAAATGAATTTACGAAAGATCAAGTTTGAGCTGGAATAAGCCTTAGTGTGGTACCATCTGTGGAGAGGTAGGCGACCTTCTAGCTTCAGTGAAAGCCACGAGGTGGCGGCAGATGTAATTTAAGTTGAAAGCTTTCAGCTACTTAGGTTTATTCACGTGATATTATAATGTGTATTACAGTTTATTATTGTAGACTAAAATTGGTTAAAATGTAATAATAATATGTTTAGTTGTTACATTATTTTTAATAGGATAGCATATTATAAACGATATTCTATTTTTTATTTCGAAAGCTTATTTGAAAAATTTATCATCAATCAGATATAGAAATAATTTAAGAACAACAAATAAATTTATAAGCTCGAATTAAGCATCAGTTCGAAACCATATTAATTGAGTGCACTCGATGTTAAGAGTGTAGAAGTGAGTGTGAATAAGGAAGTAAGATTGTATAAAACATAAATCAGTTGTTGAGAGGGAATGTTGGGAGGGGTTGGAGAAGGAGAAAGGAAATTGGGGGAGAGAAGAGAAATAGAGAAAGAAATTGCAGTTAGAGAGAGTAACTAATAAAAGAAGAAAGGAGATATAGATGTAGATAGATAGATAGAGAGAAATACATAGATAGATAGAGATAGAGATAGATAGATAAATAGATAGATAGATAAATAGATAGATAGATAAATAGATAGATAGATAAATAGATAGATAGATATATAGATAGAAAAAGAGAGAGGTATAGAGAGAGAGAGAGAAGAGAGAGAGAAAGAGAGAGAGAGAGAGAGAGAGAGAGAAAGAGAGANATAGACAGAGATAGAGAGAGAGAGAGAGATAGAGAGAGAGAGAGAGATGAGAGGGAGAGAAAGAGAGAGAGAAAGAGAGAGAGAGAAGAGAGAGAGAGTGAAAGAGAGAGAGATAGAGAGAGAGAGAGAAGAGAGAGAGAGAGAGAGAGAGAGAGAGAGAGAGAGAGAGAGAGCCTCTGATAGCCCAAAGAAGAGAGAATGGGCAGATTGGGATTGTTGGACCATAAAAATGATCTGAAACAACCGAATCACATAAAACGTCATCTCGGGAAGAAATCTAAATAAATCTAATCTGTACATCATAATGTTCATGAGTGTTTTTATTTATTTTATCATTTTATGCGAACCGCACTATATGAAATTACATGTGTCATTTGAGTACCAGTAAGAACAGATATGTAATAACACAGTTCATGTCACATGAAATATTTAACTTCCAAAGGGTCGCTTACTGGGTCCTCTAAACTCGAAGGTTTCGGCATTGTGACAGTGAGGAAGTGACTAAAGGGATTGGGACTAGCCGTTTAAAAGTTTCAATATTTTCATTGTGAAATTGTTGAATTTGCTGTACGTTTTCTGGTTTTTTACGTCTGGTACAAGTACAAAACCTAAACTTTTAATAGGTCATTCTCAGTAAAAGGTGCAATAACATTTTCGAGAATTCCTACACACATAAAACGATGTAAAAATATCAAAGATTTCCTGAAAAGGCTTAAAAATCATCTTTTATCTAGTTATGGTTGATGTCTTAAAGTTAACTTCTTTTGTTGTTTTGTTTTAGTTTTTTATATTACTATTTAGTATTCATTTAGAAATCGTGAAATGCGGTCTGGTGTGATGTAGGTTTCAGAAAAACATTTTCTTTACCGTGCCAACGTTTCGATCTTTATTGAGATCATCTTCAGGGCTCAAAGTGTTTGTCTTCTGTGTAATTGTTTTTCTGAAACCTACATCACACCAGACCGCATCTCACGATTTCTAAATAAATATCGATTAACGGTCACTAATCACCACACATTACTATTTAGTGACTAAAGTTTTATTTTATATTGGTAATTTATAATTCATGATTAGTACTGTATTGTTTGGAAAAGTATTTTTGTTCACTTATTTTATTTTATTAGTAATTTGCTTTTTAATTGCTCAATTGTTATGTAAATTAGAATATTTATTTATATAAGCCATTTTAAGTAAATACTTACGCAGCTCAATGTAAAACGATTAGATGGAACATTTTGACTACAAAAATAAGGTTATTCAAAGAAATTATTGTTTAATAAATTAGAAGTAGAGTAAAATTAGTAACCATTGTATTTCACATAGATGTAAGAATGGTCCTTGAGACCAAAACTTGTGTGATGGATAAATAAAGCGTTCATCATCATCATCATCATCATCTCTCTATCACTCTCACTTTCTCTTTTTCTATCTATCGATCTATTTATCTATCCATCCAAATATCTATATCACGTTCTATCTATTTATTTATCTACCTTTCGATAAGAGAGAAAACAATTTTTCGACATATGAACATATGGATCATTGTTTTCGTAATTTTTCAATAACAAATTGTTCCTAGACTTGTCGGAAAGTTTCTTCGTTAAAGTTGATAAGAAACGATATGAAAATAGTATGAAGCGGGAGTTCCGTCAAATAAACAAGAATATACGACTCAAAAAATATTGTTACATAAACAAACATTTATAATACATATTTATAACTTATTCTTATGCATGCGTTTAAAATGCTCCGACACGATGTGAAAATCTCGAAATATATCAGCAAAATTGTCACTTAATTTGATGCATTTGGACGTTATCGTCTTCATCAGCAAACCTGTCACAACGCTTTTTTTCGAAATATAGGTCTAACATGGAGCAAGTGTGATTAAATGAAATGTGACGATGGCGTGAAACCGAAAAAGTCCGGCCAAGGACAAACTTCCAAACACGTCAATGTTGTGATAGATCTGAATATAAACATAGGTAAATAAATTGAAGCCAATGGTTTTCTTTCTCAAAATAAACATTTAAATACCAGTAGAAAAATCTTGATTTATTTAAATTTGGTTTTAAATAGGCTTAACTAATGCTGTTTAGTTAAATCTGGATTTTATCTGGCCGTATAGACATTTCTATTTAAAGTTTTGGCATAGAATCAATTCCCATGGTAGTTTTAGGTTAGTTTAAATTGTTTTATCGGATAATCCGATCAGGAGACAGATCCGGGTCGGCGGGTGGTTCTCTTGGCGACTTTAAAAACCCATTTTCTCTTTCCAAACGTTTGATTATTGGAGATAGGTTTCATTTTTGGAAATTTGTGTCGTTTAAATTGTCCATATTATGCGTGAATTCTTTAACTCAAAAATTTTAGAATAACTTTCATAAATTATAATCAAGTGATTTTTCATATAATCGTAAATTAACCGCCGAAAAGGAAGAAAAAACGCGCGTAGATATTTTGATTATAACGTACTATTTTACATTTATTC